GTCACAAAGACAGGCATCTGAGATCGGCTCGATTTGAGAAAGGGGTAAAGATTTTAGTAGATAAACAAAAAACCACTGGGTGGATTTTTATCATTTTAGGGTGGTTGTGTACACACACTGCCAACACACATTTCAGTTCAAACAACTTGTAAAAGTGCATGTAGTATTATATGACCCCTTTAAAGAGATAGCCTACCCAACAATGTTGTTCCAAACTTGTATTTATTTCTTTTTTGTGGAACACAAAATATACCCAAAATAGTAATATTTGTAAATATATATATAATAAGTAATAAGTAAATATATAATACGTAATATAAATATTATTTGTAACTAAACAGTTTTGGTTCACTTTGACTTTCATAGTCTTTTTTTTTTCCATACTATGGAAGTCAGTGGGCCCCCAAAACTGTTTGGTTATCAATATTCTTCAAAATATTTTCTTTTGTGTCCCACAGAAGAAATTCATAGAGGTTTGGAATGACATGAGGGGGAGTAAATGATGACAGATTTTTCATTTTTGAGTGAACTGTCCCTTTAAGCACAAGCCTTTTCTTTTAAATGTATTTAAGTTAATTAGAAACAAATTCAGTCCAAAAAAACTGATTTTTGAAATACAACAATTGTACACAAACATTTTAGTGCCTTGTTAATGTGTCTTATACAGCCAGAGGAGGTCAAACATATATCAGTGTTTTCTTTAAGGTGTCAAACGACGTCTCACCAGTGCTGTGCTGGGTGGGAACTGTGTTCTGCTGATGGTACCAGTCATTTGCTCCACTCCAGTTTGAGGTGCTCTGGATTTTCAGCATGCTCAACCTCTCAAACATCATGAACCTGACCACTCCAGCCTCAGAATGGAAAGAGACACAAGAACTGATTTAATTTAGACTCCCTAAGACACAGTATGACCTTTGACCCTCATTTGTTTTTATACAGAAAATTTTAAAGGAACTATTCATGTGAGAGAAGGGTGAGTTTACACACGGTTAGTGTTCAAGTTAATTACAGTAGCATCGTTCTATACATATACAGAAAGAGTCTGTTACATGAGTGATTTTCCACTGTATATTTATTAATACTAACAGTATTTATTTATTATGTCTGCATGAGTTTGCCCTGGGTGTACAGATTTGTGCATTAGAAAAAATTAGAAATGTATGTGAATTGAAAACATACATACATGCAACATTACATTACATATTTATGACTTTCAAAAAAACATGCATTTACACATTACAATTTCTGTTGGCCAAATCAGTTGTTTGATATTTTAATAGGCTATATTTACATTTCACAAATTGTTTTGTGCCT